TTTTGGGGGGGTGGTTCTGCCCATGCAAGGCACCTCAACGTGGAAGACCCATGTGGGGCAAAGCCTAGTTTCCCCCATGAACATTCCTCAATGCTGGGAAAGCTGCACCATATGAACATCTGCCTGGCCTTCCCTATTGTTGCTGTTGTGAAACTGGGGGAGGGGAGAATCCCTCTGGAGGTGAAGTAGAGCATCTGGGCAATGGGGAGAGGCCTGTGTTTGCACCTCTGCCACCATGGCGAAAGCGATTTCAGTTTGGCTCCGAACGGCCGTCTTCCATTTTCAGACATGAATCAAGGTCCGTTCTTTCTGAATATCCTGTTGGTTTGTTCTCTTAGAATAACTGGAATGTCCAGAAAGAAGCCTTCCTTTTCATTTATTGAGCAAGCAAGCGAGGAGATAAAAATATCTGATTGTATGGTTAAAAAAAAAAAATACAGCAGGATACAATATATAAAATACATTTTTTCAACCCCAAATAGTAAAACCTTTTGTCTTCAGGTAGGACTGGAGAATCCCAACTTTAAAGGCACTAAGAACAGGCTTAAGAATTGTTAACAGTAAGTCTTATATCCTGGAAGGCAAGGATTCAGTTCACCTTTAATATTTTTCTTAGTGGCAAAACTGGTAGGACTGGGGGTTTTGAAATCGTAAAAAGTGGACTCGCAAGGTGCGACATGATTTCTCAGACAGGTGACTTGGGAAAGGATTGAGCAGAATCGTAAAGAAACAAACATGCTTTGCTTCGTATGAATAAAAGAGTATGGGGACAGCATCTGCGTGTCAAGCATCCCATCATAATCCAAATCACAGTGGATCCTATTGATCCCTCTCTGCAATGTAGCCGCGCCCTCCGTCGAGGGCAGCCACAGACCAGAGACTCCTGGGACCTTGATCACCACCAACAAATGGCATTTTATGTCACACGTCGTTTGATGGATTAAGTCGTCCACTACACCCCATGAGAGTGTAGATGGCTTCTCACTCCATGGATGCCTTAATATTTAGTAAGTGGGTGGCAGAGATTCACAACAGGGGAGCAGAGGCCGTAAAAGGGTCTCCTCAAAGGTCACATCAGGCTCAGTGGCCTCTACAGGCCTTCCCCGGCGGCCATTCCCAGCGGCTTAAAGGTCACCGGGAGTAAACCAGCTCATCGGACTCTCACTGTTCCTCTGAAACAGAAGCAAAAACAGAGAGAAGTGGGTGGCAGAGATTCACAATAGGGGAGCAGAGGCCGTAAAAGGGTAAACCAGCTCATCGGACTCACCGTTCCTCTGAAACAGAAGCAAAAACAGAGAAGCGAGGATCACTTTGCACTTCGTGACCTCTGAATATCCACAAAAGAACAAACTTGGCTGCATGGTTGACTACAACACCCATCATCCTCAATGAGAATGCCTATGCCAGCTTGGGAATAATAGAACATGTAGTCTGGTCTCCTCTGGAGGGGCGCCACGTTCCAGCTAATGCTGCTCTTGTCCCTCCAGAGTCACTTCCACCAACCCAGAGGGGGGAGACAGACAGACGTCTGCATTTATTACCCCCTCCTGTCCATTTACACCCCAGTAGCTCCCAGATTAAAGTCTGGAAATGGAAGCCAATCCGAGTATGGTGTAAACAAAAGCAAGTCACACAAGGACCAACCCATATCCTCCATGCCCCCAGACAAAGGGGGAATGAACCGCAGATGGGATTCATAAAACTGTAGAATCATTGAGTCGGTATAATTGCTAGGGCCCTCCCATCCAGTCCCTTTACTAATACTCTTGGTATGCTTTTAATTTTATTTGCATCTGTTTAGAACTTTCAACAAGTCACTACCCCAGGTGGCTTCCAAAAAAAACCTGACATGAATAGACAGAGAGGTTTAAAATAAGGAAAACCCTATAAAAACCCCTCCTGAAAACCTCCTATCCAACAAATATTCCAAGACGCAGAATGATGATCCACAGGGTCGCGGAACATTACTAGAACTTTCAACAAGTCACTACCCCAGGTGGCTTCCAAAAAAAACCTGACATGAATAGACAGAGAGGTTTAAAATAAGGAAGACCCTATAAAAACTCTCCAATCCGACAAATATTCCGAGACGCAGCATGATGATCCACAGGGTCGCGGAACATTACTACACAATAATTTAGCCTTCCGGAGGGGTGAGGCTCGCCAAGGCCTGAGTAAAGATCCAGGTTTTAACTTGCTTCTGAAGACTCAGACGGGTGTAGGGCGAGTCGCACACCCCACCAGAAGGGAGTTCCAGCGTGGGGCGGCCACTCTCGAGAAGGCCCTGTTTCCGGTTGACGGCTCTGGGGCCTCCTTAGGCAAGGACCAGCACGGATTGACCAGGTGGCGGTGGCTTACCCTGGCCCTGAGGAAGTGGGCTGATGGAGGCACGTCTCCCATCGTCCCCAGCAAGGACCATGAAGCAGCCATTCTGGCCCTCCATGGCCCGGCTTCTCTGAAGTTCTTATGTTTTACTTTTCCCAGCACCAAGGATCATTGATTGGGAGAGTATAGTCAATCATCATCATCCTGGAACGGCAGAGCCAGAAGGGGCCCTAGAGACTCTATCAATGGACGATAGATCTCCGAGTCCAACCCTATCAAGGAGGATTGGGATGGGGTGGGGAATTCCCAACTTCTGGCTCTTCGGCTGGAGGAGACCTAAGCCACTGAGCGCTCCGGCGTGCCTGTTGAATTTCTGCCACGCAGGTGTCTTTAAATGGCTTAAATTGCCTTCCCTAGCTGAAGTGTCACACGTTTTTGGATTATTTGACTTGATTCCATGCAGTTTACATTATGATTTCATCTTGCGGTCTTCCATCTTTCCAATATTGGCAAATATTGGAAAGATGGAAGTATGAGCAGTATGAGCAGTATGGAAGACGGCAGTATGAGCAGGATGTTGTGCTTTTGTCTTTCTTTTGCTTTGTCAGTTAACTCTGTGATTTTGTAATACAGAACAGGAAATGAATAAACCCTCAATATTTGACTTCATTCAATTTAAAATCTAATTCCGCTTTATCTTGCCTTTCTTCTTAAAAAAAAAAACAACAACAAATATTAAAGCCAACAAGACGGAGTACACAACTACAAAAAAGGGATCAACCAAAAAGATGGCAAAAAGGAGGAGTTTTTGTGTGGAGTTCCAGATTTTGGGACCGGTGGCAGAGAAGGCCCTTCTCCTGCATCCCCACCAGACACACCTGTGAAGGTGGGAGAGCGGAGAGAAAGGCCTCTTCCGATCTTGACACCTGAGCCAGCTCATTATGGGATACGTGGTCTTTGAGACAGCTGGGACACACGCCATTGAGGGCTTTTATAGGTTAAAAACCTGCATATTGAATTGTTCCCCGAAATGGAGCGGCAGCCAATGGAACTGCTGTCACGGGGAGGGCTCTGTGAACAGCCCCCTGCCATCAATCTCTGGCTGTGGCATTTTGGATCCGGTGACGGTTTTCCTGACACTCCATCGGCAGACCCACAGAGAGCGTGTTCCGGGAAACCAGGCGGAATGTCAACTGAAGGCATGGGTCACCGTGGCCAAATCAGATCTCCCAAGAAAGGGACAGAGTTGGCGCGCTGGTTCTAATGGGGCAAAGGCTGGCCACCGCCAAGACCTGGACAATCCAGGCTCAGGGACGAATCCAGGAGCATCCTCCCCCCAAGCTGCTTACCTGGGTTTTCTCGGGGAGCGTCACCTCATCCAGCACAGGCTGCAACCCGATTCCTCGATCTGTCTTTCGACTGAGCAGGAGCACCTCTGTCCTGCCTCAATTCAGTGTCCATTTATTCCCACCCGTCCTATCTATGACTGCTACGAAACACGGATCTAGAACTGAAATGCCTTTCTCGGAATTGAGACGGAAAGGAGAGAGAGAGAGAGAGAGAGAGAGAGAGAGCTGGGGTAGCCACCAGTTTCATGTAGGGGTTAAATAACACAGGAGGCCACATAGAACCCCAGAGGGACACCCCAGACCAATGGCCAGGGTTTCAAAGAGGAGCAAGTTGCTCCCACCTTCTGAGTCCTTCGGGAAGGACGGAGCAACGATAAAACAGTTGCCTCAAAATCTCATCTCGGAGAAAGACAGAGGGGACCTGAGGGCTGGAAAGGCTGTCCTAGAGAGGAGGGGCAGGGTCTGTCCTCCGTCCTCCCAGAGGGCAGGACACGCAACCATGGGCTCAAGTGAAAGGAAGCCAGATTTCCGTGGAATCTAAGGAAACAAATTTCCTCACGGTTGGAGCAGTACGACAATGGGACCTATGACTTCAGGAGTCGGTGGGCGCTCCAAACCGGGGGCTTACTTCGAGAGAAACTTAAGAGCACCACCTGGCAGATCCTCTTCGGTTTGGTTTGCCGCCTTGAGCCCGGGGGTGTGTGTGTGTGTGTCAGACTCGATGGCCTTGTTAGACCCCCTTCTGACTCCATGACACTAGGATTCTATGATTTAGTTCTGATGGGATTTCCCTGTTCTTCGGTTCTATTATTTTTATAAAATAATAATAAATGCAACACACAAAACAAGGCGAAAAGGCAGCAACGAAGGGCTTTTTCCAAAGGGGGTAGTTAGCAAATGGCATATTGGAACTAAAATTCCATTTTCCAGCACCGGCCTCTTTCTTTCTCCTCTCTCGCTCGCTTTCGGGGGACTGTCCGGCGCCCACAGCCTCCCTTGCAGAGCCAGGTCGGCTCGTTCCCGGATGGACACCCGCAACATGTAAGAAGCCTCCCTCGGGCTGCGGAATCCCCCGGCTTAAAAATGGGGGGGAGGTAGGGCATGGCAGGGCCCGCTTTATTTCTGAGGTTTTATTTCCACAGCTGCCTCTGCCAGCAGCCGCATTTCCCTGCGTTGTTCCGGAGCCGGTCAGGTCTGGTCTCCTCGAGAGTCAGCAGGAGGGGTACTGCCCTTTCCTCCGGTGGTTCCTCCCTCTGTCCATCTCCCTCCCCCCCTCCCGCTTCCTGGACTTGCCTGCCTGTACCACCCCCTCCCCTGACTGGCCCTTTTCTCGAGAGTCACCTTCTCCATCCTTTCTCTCTCTCTCTCTCTTCTCTCTCTCTCTCTCTCTCTCCCTCACACACACACACACACACATACACGAAGAAAAAGTTTTGGCTGTGGCAGGAGAGGACCAGCAGGGGGCAGCAGCCTCAGCTCAAAAAGTTTCGGCTGTGGCAAGAGAGGACCAGCAGGGGGCAGCAGCCTCAGCCCCACAGGTGGCCCCCCTTCACAGCTACAGAACCAAAGGGGGGGCATCCTCGTTCAGATGGGAGCCATTAAAAGAGTTTAGGGTCCCCTCCAGCCCTCCTCCTCCATCAAACATGGAAATGGCTCCCACTGCGTGGAGGAGGCAACGGTGCGCCGAAAAAGCACCTCCCAAGGAGCTGGAAAGGCTCCCGTTGTGTGTGATTTCCCCCACGTTCAAGAATCACTTTTCCTCCATCTACAAGGCTTGTCACAATTTATTTGAGTTATTTTTCGCTCCAGGAAAAACAGAGACTTTCCTTCTCCCTTACACCTGGCGTCTCAGGGGGGACCGACCAACCGCCTGCACTGCTAGGCTTCCCCCGGATGATGATGTCCCTGCCCACGGCATCTGTCCAGGGGACTGGTGGAGGGGCTCGGGAGACCCCGTGCCCTGTGCCCAACTCAGGGGGCGTCCTGAGCTGGATCTGCCTGGTATTTCTCGGGCGGCTTGTTCCAGCTCTGAAGTCAGAAAAGGCCAGCCAAGCGGGTGGGGCAACCAGACTTGACTGCGGTGTGTGAAAGGGCCAAGCAGTGGGGAGCCTGACCATGACTTAGGGCAACCCCATGAATGAGTGACCTCCAGAAGATCACGTCCTCAACGGCCCTGCTCAGATCTCGCCAACTCCAGCTTGTGGTTCCTTACTGAAGCCTGTCCATCTCGCAGTCGGGGTCTTCCTCTTTTCCTGAAGGGTTCCACTTGTACCAGCACTGCGGGTTTTGCCCCGAGGGAACGCTGCCTTCCCGTGATGTCTTCTGCGCTAGAAAGGGAAGAGACCGAGATCCGGTGAGACGCTTTGCTTGGGAGACAGGAAGGAATACGACACTCGTAAAGCCTCTCCCACCCGGGTCACACGAAAGGACGGTTCGAAATCCAGTCTCAAAGGAAACCCCAAGAACGGCTATTCCTTTAGCACCATCATCACTGAAATTATACAACAGGCCCGGGTGGGGTGGGGACAAATGGAAAGAGAAGAAAAATGATACAGGGATGGGGATGGTGTGAGAGACATTCACACACACATACACACAAACACACACACACACAGAGTGCCCCATAAATATTATCCTTTCAGCTGGGGTGCCCATCCCAGCGAGTGGGGGAAGCCCAATTTTAGCCCCCACAAGAAACAGACCTGCAACACACACATACACAAACAAACACACACCCAGTGGGCGGCGCCAGGCCACGAAATGCCCAAAAAGGACTTTAAATGTGCAAAAACCCCGATCTCCAAAATGTGGGTAGGACCCACAAAGGGAAGTGCCGTCCCCCAGAAAGGCCCGATCCCACACCGAGCGCTTCTCCTCCTCTGTGACGCATACTTACAACTTCGGGACCAAGCACTGGCGCGCCTCCTGAGTCACATCCTTGTGCCAGTTTCTCCTTGCCCCAAGACCCGAAGGAGGCCCCGAGGCCGACGCACCTCCCGGGGAGTTGACAGGACGGCTGCAACCGGTGTCCTCCTTCGTCGAGAAGCTTCCAATTTAAAAAAAAAAAGGACAAAAGTACAATTTTTAAGAGTTACTTGGTGCATTTCATGGTGGGATCCCTGCTCGTTCGGAGAAAGCATAAGATATGCTCCGGAAACCCTCTGGAGATACAAAACTGAATTGCAGTGTTGTGGTTGAAATAAAATAAAATAAAAACAAAGTCAGAAACAGAACAACTACGGGGGAAAGGAGAATATAAACCAATCACAAGGAAAAAAAAAACACAGAATGACAAGGGGCGCCTTTTCTACAAACCAGCCTCCCTCCATCCATTGATGGATCGCATCTCCTTGGCAGATTCTCTCACAGCTCAGAAGCAGCGGCTGGAAAAAGCCCGTCCTCGGGTCCTCAGACCGAGGAGGGAGGTGGGACTGAGGAATCCGCTGGAGATATTTGGAAGGGGAAACCGAGTCAGGACCCCCTTGAAGACTGACTTACCTTGATGCCCCCACAGAAGCTGGCAAAGGCAGTCCCAAGGCCCCAATCCCGTCTTGGTCTCTTCCTCCTCCTGCCACCACAGGTGTTGGATCGGCACCTAAGGGACAAAGGGGCACCCCCCTCAGTAACAACCATGGCTTGCCCCCGAGTCCTTTCCACCTCATGGCGGCCCTTCCCAGGCTCCGAGGTGGCTCGCCCATCCCTTCTTTCAGGGTGTTTTCATTAAAACATTGCAAAGGCTCAGACGTTACGTCCTGGCTAAACCCGGCGACCCTTTTCCCTAGACCAGATGGCAGAAACTCCTGACTCTTTGGAAATTTTGGAACGGGTCACCAGTGGCTTGGGCAGATGTAATGGACATTCCACCGGAGGATGAAAGATGGACTCTTTTCCTCAATGGGTCACACTGGGGGATAAGACGGGAAACGCCTCACGAGATGTGCTGCTGTGACCACTCACGAGGCGCTCGTAGAAGAAAAGCTTTCTGCACACTGGCCAGCACAAGCAGCGGAAATCCAAGCCTTAACAAGAGCACTTACAGATCTCAAAAGGTTAAAAAAAAAAAGGACAAATATTTACACGGGCAGCCGATCGGCTTTTGAGGGAATGTGGCTTCATAACAGGAGCAGGACAGAAAACTGCCAACGGACCACAGATCCGAGAGCTCCTGGATGCCCTGCAGTTGCCAAACGCAGCGGCTAGGTTATGTGCCAAAAAGGACACGGGAAGGCTCCAGAACCCACCTCGAGGGAAGGGAACCGACGGGGCGGAAGGAGCCGCAAAGTGAGCTGCAATTAGCATTCGCTGGAGCCACAGATAAACGGGTGTGCCCGATATAAATACACACACACAAAAAGAAGGATCGTCAAGCGGGAGAGCAGCAGGCAAGTGAAAACCCCAATGGCTGGTGGGTGATACTGGGAGGGAAAGGATTCGCCCCCAGAGCTGGATTAAGCCACACTGCTCGGGACTTGAACCAGAAAACTCGCCTGGGAGGGAACTCACTTGCTGAGCGACTTAACAGACACATCAGTCCCCGGGAGGAGAAACGGCAAGAGTCAAACCCAAAATGAAAAAGCCCAGGTGGACTCGGTGGCCTTCCTTCAGCTGCGGAAATTATACCAGCTACGGCCCTACCTGGACGAGCGGAATCTCATGACAGTTACACGCGCACTGGTAACATCTTGTATAGATTACTGCAATGCGCTCTACGGGGGGCTGCCTTTGTAGACGGTCCGGCGACTGCAACTGGTCCAGAATCCAGCTGCACGGCTGGTGAGTGGTGGGGCCCGGGCCCAATTCAAAGTGCTTGTTTTGACATATAAAGCCCTAAACGGCTTGGGCCCTGGATACTTGAAGGACCGCCTCCTTCCATATGAGCCTACCCGGCAGTTAAGATCCAGCCAGGGGGCCCTTTTGAAAGAGCCATCCCTCAAGGAGGTAAGAGGGATGGCTTGTAGAGAAAGGGCCTTTTCGGCAGCTGCCCCCAGACTATGGAA